TATTTTGGGGAAGGCAGTGACAGTGTTCATATCCCACCTGAGTTATTCCAGCTGGGTATTCTCACAGCCTCTTTGCTTCGGGCTCTTTGCCCTTTCTGTTTCACAGGGTGCAGGTCACGGCCAGCAGCACTCCCATGGTCAGTTCAGACTCCTCAGCTTTCTCACCAGGGCTGAGAGAAGGGAAACTGGGGTTTGTGTTACACTGAAAGCTGTGCCCGTGGGAAGGAGGTGATGAAACATGAGGGGAATTGCACACAAATGCATCGAGTATTTCATCTAAATACAAACTGGCCTCTGGAAATAGGTGAAGTTTAGAGCCTGGAGAGCATCAACCTCAGGGGAAGGACAGGCTCCTTTTCCACTGAGACTGGGATTTTAGCTAGAGGTTTGGATTGCTGCACTACAGAAAGAAATTACTTTATCTCCTCATTTCGGGATTAATCAATTATTTGAATTCTTAAAAACCCCAGAAGCAAACCCAAATCCCTCTCTGTATTTCTTCTGTAGTCAGTATTTTCAAGTGGTACTAATTCATTTGCATTTCTATGTGCTTTAAAACTAATTTCCCCCGTGTTCTACTCTATTTTTATCTGTTCAATATTAACCCAGCTGATTTCAAAATCTGTAGAACCAGGTGTGAGAGTAAACAACTTCACATTTTCAGCACTGCTTACAAAGTCAGTTATTATTATTGGAGAGCAACTTCAGTTCTGAGCTGATGATTCCACCCCCCTTGTCTCTTTCAGCAGACAATTCTCTCAAGTATAATTTCCTGTTCTTGAGCAAGAAGCTGAATTTCTGCCCTGTTTCTGTTTCAGAGCCATCCCCTGCCAGCACCTCCGACCTGCAGAGCCTCCCCAGCTGAAGCCTTTCTCCTGGGAACTGCGCCGGCACCAAAAATCAAAGTAAGTCACTCTTGATAACCAAGAGGTTTCTAGGAAAGGTGCCTGAGTTCATTCTGAAGGGTTCATCCCTCAGGACATCCTGACTCTGTTACACCTCAGGTCTGTGCCTGGCAGCTCTAAGGGGAAGCACAGATGTCTGACCCTGCTGTAGCTCTGTGGAGAGGGCAGATTTATCCCAAGGTTTGATCCCAGGAGTCTGTACTTGGTTGAGCATCCAAAATCAGTGAAGACAGTGTCCAAAATCTCACTTTGTTTACCTTCATGTTTAATATTTGTAATGATCAGGGGGTTGAAGAGTGCTCTAGTGCAAACCTGCCAGTCCTGTGCCAACGCTGCCAGCTCCACAAACACTCTGATTTTGCAGGAGAATTTGAAGTCAATGGCAGAATTTTTAAATGCCATAAACACCAGCTGGCTGAAGCCTCCAGCACACTGTCTGCAGCAGGAGCAGTGTTTTACAAGCTGTTGTGTGATATAACCTGAATGACAGAAATAAACTCTCTGGGCAGCTGTTCTGGGCCTTTGGATGTGCCACTTTGCAGTGGAGGTGGGATTCAGCCAGGACCACCAGCAGCACAGCCCATCCCTGCACCTGTAGCATTTTTAAGGTTTTTACTTCAAAACAAGCCCAGGAACATTAAATCCCCTCAGTTCTTTGGACAGGGAAGAGAGGAGGGGATGCACCTTTCAGATGATTGGCTTTGCATCAAGTACAATATGGAGAAATGGAACAAAATGCTTGTTTTAAAAATGCATGTGGAAAAGCTCAAGATGGAGAAGCCACTGCAAAGTCTGCAAAGGGAAAAAAAGCACCAAGCTTATGGTGAAAGTAAAGCTGCATGGCTGTAACCATGGAGACCAAAGCTCTTCTGATGCAGAAATAAATGAACACAACCTTTTCATATTTATTAGTGGGACTGATGATGAAAGATAAAGTCAAATTAAAATATAAAGCAATAGAGACAAGAGCGAGTGGCTGCCTCTGCCCCTGCAATGCAGGTTCTTGTAATGGGTCATCACAAATGAGCTGGGGTTACAGAGAGGAAAATCAGTTATAAAAGGAATAAAATACTCCTAGTTATACCAACCTGCTTATGCAAATATCAGCTTCTTTACTAACAAAACTGGAGAGACAAAGCACATGACATATTCCTGAAATCTTTTGGTTCTGACTAAAATGGAAATTAATTTGTTTTCCCACCACAGCGGTGTGTGAAACGTGTTCCACATAATGGGAAACTTTCCTATAACTGTGAGTGTTTGAAACCTGCTCATTTCTTAGTGGCAAGGAGGACAGAATTTCCCTATAAAAACCCTGGGTGAATATTCAGGTTTGCTGTGAAAATACGTGTCCCAGGTGCAGGTGTTGACCGGTGAGCTGCTGTTAGGGACCTGTCACTGCGGGACAGAGGCACAGCCGCAGCAGATGGCCCTGGAGCTGATTTCAGAGCTCGTGCAATGAACCTCCACTGCACAGCTACACCAGAAACGGATGGATGGAGCAGCAGTCCCAGAGGAGGGCAAGGATTCACCCCGCAGGAAGGCGCTGAGCGAAGGGCGGCTCGGGCTGCGATTCACGGACAGAGCCGAGTTCCCAAAGCCGCTGCGGGAAATCCCTGCGGGAAATCCCTGCGGGAAATCCCTGCTCACGGCTGTGCCTCGGGCAGGAGGGCAGGGCAGGAGCAGCAGGGAAGAGCCCGTGCAGGGCTCAGCACCCCAGCTCCGCCTGGCCCTGCGGCCGCAGCACCGAGCCCAGCGGGGCAGCGGGCTGGGGCTGCCCCCGCACCCCGCGGGGTCCCCGCCCCGCTGCCAGCCCCGAGCCTCGGCAGCGCGGGTGGGACAGAAAACGCAGCGTCCCTCAGGCCAGGGGCTGAAAGCAAAACCGAGAGCAGAGGCTGCTGCTCCCGGTGCTCCCGGTGCTCCCGGGCCAGGCGGAGCCGCGAGCCCCGCCGGGGGCTGGGGTCTGCCCAGGGGCCGTGAACGCGGGTAACCCCCGGCCCACAGAGCTCGTGGTACCACATCCCCATCACACACCTCGGGTTAAGGTCCTTCCAGTGTTACTGGGCTATTTTCTTCCCCTTTCTGACTTCCTCAAAAGTGTGGTTAGCCTCAAATCTGGAGAGGAATCCGTGAACAGCCTCAAAGCCAGATTTGAAGAGTAACCAGAAAGGTTTTGCCAAGCCTTTAAATAACCACCCTCCATCCTTCTTGATATCCTGGTAAGAGAACGGTTGTGTACAAGACCTTTAATTCAATCACTGTATAAAACGGTATTTCCTGGAATTTTCTGGCAAATTAAACACTCCTAAAGAGTTCATATTTCAGTCTTACTCTTCACTGACTACAGCCAGGAGTTCAGAACACTGAAATCTGATTTTTAATTATAGAGTTTGCTAATACTAAGATTACCTTAGTACTGAGACAAATGTGATGCACACTGATAAAAGGATACCGAATTGTTTGTAAACAGATAAAGGCTGCTGCACTTCCCCACTGCACTGAGGAGTTTTTTCTCACCACAGCAGAGCCCCCTCAGTGAATCCCCTCTCAGGTCCCTGCCCAGGGGCCACACTGCAGGCCTGGCCTGGCCAAACCAAGCACAGCTTTGAACAAACTCAGTTCCAGTTCTGTTCCATTTCCTTTGCCTTCCAGGCTGGCCCAGGCTTGTGCTCCTCCCCGTGGGAAGGGTCAGTGTTCCCAGCACTGCCCTCCTGGGCACTCAGGGGAGGATCCTCCAGGCAAAATCAAATCTCCATCCACGGAGGAATCGCAGAGCTCCTTTCCCCAGGACACACACCAAGCAAAGCAGTACAATGCTATTTATAACTGTGTTCTACAGCCCTGAACAGGAACAAGGCATTTCAGCCCAAGTTACTCTGCAGATTCTCAGTAACCTTGAAGGAGATAAGTATTCAGTTAGTACTAAACAGAGAGGCCCCAGCAGGGCTGGGGAGCACTTGGAAAAACAGAGGCAAAAAAGGAGGAATGAATATAGTGAGGTGGGATTTACCAACCAGGAATGGAGCACTTGCATGTAATAAAGCAAATATTTACATTAAGCACAATACAGCAATTTATTTAGATGCTTAAATGAAGAATACAAAGGGAAATAAAGATCACAAAATTATACATACTACAACAGTGTGTCATATATTAGATGGTATAAATGAATACAACACCTTGTTGGTGTTAACTAAAGATAAAACTAAATATCCAAACCCAGCACTTTGTCTGTGTGCTGCTTCAACACAATACACTTTTATACAGATCTAAAAGGTGTCAAAATTAGTAGCTGCAAACTTGTTTCTTGCATGTGATTTTTCTTTTTTAGCTTAAAAGATTTCAGAAAATGGCTCTGAAATATGTTTGTCATCAGTTGTCATGTCAAGGATATTCAGAACAAGAAAATTCTATAATACAACAGAGCCCAGATATATTTTTATGTTGCTGGCCTCTGGTTGGAGATTGTACAAGGTTATGTGCAAAAACTAAGTCTGTCAAAATTCTTACTAGAGCAGTCTCAAGCTTTGCTAGGGAAACTAGATACAGCATTTATTACACAGCAGGGCAACACTAAAAAAGAGAAACAGATCTATGATGGGTACACAAGAACAGTTCCATAAGCTTCACTTGAATAGGTCTAAAAGACTGTACAAATATACATTTCAACTATTCAGAATGATACATGAAAACTCCATTTCCCCAGAGTCTGCTATACAGGGCACCGGGCCGCCGGCACGGCGCTACCGGAGAGGGGCCTCTTGGAAAGACACAACTCAACACGGACAAGGTGAAAGGAGGGCTGAAAATGCAGATCAAATAATCCTCTGCTTTTCTCTGTGTGCATTCTGGAGCCACCAGCGTATCAGTTTTCACATTAAGTTACTGTGCTCATGCCAGCAGGAACTCCCAGCCCCTCGGCCAGCAGATTTGTACATGACCCCGGGCAGCAGCGCCCCGGGCCAGCCGTGCCCGGGGCAGCAGCAGCTGGCAGCAGAGCTGTGCCCGGGGCAGGAACAGCTGGCAGCAGAGCCGTGCCCAGGGCAGGAGCAGCTGGCAGGGGAGCTGTGCCCGGGGCCCGGGGCAGCAGCAGCTGGCAGGGGAGCCATGCCCAGGGCAGCAGCAGCTGGCAGCAGAGCCGTGCCCAGGGCAGCAGCAGCTGGCAGGGGAGCTGTGCCCAGGGCAGGAACAGCTGGCAGGGGAGCTGTGCCTGGGGCCCAGGGCAAGAGCAGCTGGCAGGGGAGCCGTGCCCAGGGCAGGAACAGCTGGCAGCAGAGCTGTGCCCTGGGCCCGGGGCAGCAGCAGCTGGCAGCAGAGCTGTGCCCTGGGCCCGGGGCAGCAGCAGCTGGCAGCAGAGCTGTGCCCTGGGCCCGGGGCAGCAGCAGCTGGCAGCAGAGCTGTGCCCTGGGCCCGGGGCAGCAGCAGCTGGCAGCAGAGCTGTGCCCTGGGCCCGGGGCAGCAGCAGCTGGCAGCAGAGCTGTGCCCTGGGCCCGGGGCAGCAGCAGCTGGCAGGGCAGCTGTGCCTGGGGCCGCAGCAGCTGGCAGCAGAGCTGTGCCCAAGGCCCGGGGCAGCAGCAGCTGGCAGGGCAGCTGTGCCTGGGGCCGCAGCAGCAGCTGGCAGGGCAGCTGTGCCCAGGGCAGCAGCAGCTGGCAGCAGAGCCGTGCCCGGGCAGTGCCAGGCAGGGCAGAGCTGCTCACGCCTGCTGGCTGCTGAGCTCCACCCCGGGCAGGCTGCCGTGCATGGGCTCGGCCCCCACGGCCCCGAAGCCCTCGCCGTCCTCGCTGTCCATTGTGCTGCTCTGCCACTCCATCTGCTCGCTGGCCAGGCTCTCCTCCAGCTCCGAGGAGTTTTTCCATTGCGACTGGTCCTTGGACCAAAACCCTTCTACTTTTCCATAGGAACGATTCTTCCACTTTGACTGTTCTTCGTCGCTTTCAGAGGCACCCCCCTTGGCCTCCACAGTGGGTTTACTGCTGCCGGCATCTTCGCTTTGGGAAGATTCATCTGTCCACACTTCTGGTTTTACCTCCAAGGCGTTATCTTCAAAATCCGAAACCTGCTGGGAGCCAGGCCCGCTTTCAGACTGGGAAGCTCCATCCTTCCATTCCACTGCATCATCCTGGTCATCCTGATCCCCTTCGCTATCTGAAACGTCACCTACCAGTTTTGTTGGCTCTTCAGCAGCAATCATCTCTTCGTATTTAGAGCTTTCCTCTTGTTTTTGCTCAGCCTTCTCTGGAGGCTGTAACGTGTTTTCCTCCACGATTTCCTTGGCTAAGCTGTCCTGGGGGTTCTGCACTGTGCTGTCAGACAAGGCTTTCCCACCCATGTCGGAGACGTGCTGGCCAAAGGGACTGCGGCTCTCGCTGTATTCCTCCTCTAGGTTTTCGTAGCTGTCTGAAGAACTGTCATTGTCTTTTTCCAAGTTGATTTTTTTATCAACAGTCTTACTGACATTGACTCTGGAATTCTTCTCGTCGTGGTTTTCAAACAGCCATTCAGCATCAAAATCCATCTCATGTTTGACTTTGTTCAGCTCTTTCATGTTGAAGCCCAGCAGCACCCCGGGTTTGTATTTTTCACAATCCCTAACACATTTCTTCCTTTTGTTGCTGAAGTGAGATGCGATGTCAGATTTCCAGAGCCACAAGCTGGCCGCCAGCTTTTCGATCTCTCTCCGAGTGGGGTAGGGCTGCTTATTGAAATATTTTGTAAGAAATGTTTTCCTGGCTTCGTACGAATCGTCTTCGTGACCCTTGGGGTCCAGTGCTAGAACTACAGGTTCTTCAGGCTTCTCCTCAAAGGCGGAGGGGGAGTCATCGTCGTCCATCTTCCTCTTCTTCATCAGGGGGAACTCCATGTGCTCGTAGGCGCGTTTCACCGGCGCGGCCGCCGGGGACTGGCCCAGCCGGGACGAGGTCCCTTTGTCCTGCCCGTTCTGGGTCTTGCCCACGCCCCTGCAGTGCACCAGGTGCAGCGTGATGGTGGAGGCCGTCATGTTGCTCGTGTACACGCCCAGGCAGTGGATGCACTTGTAGGTCAGCTTCTTCTCCACGGGGTGAACCGTCTGAATCACCTGGTGCCTCTCCCGCAGGTGATGTGCCAGCGCGTCGGAGATGGGGCCTTTTAGGATTGAAAAGCACAGGGGACACAGAGTTTTCCCCACATCTTTTTTGTAGGGCACTGCCGCTTGTGGAGAACTTTTGACGGGTACGTCAGATTTCTCCTGGATTTTGGGCTGCGGTTTTGGCGGGACAGGGGGGGTGTTCTGAGCGTGGTAAGCTACGGATTCGGCAGGAGCATCCCGCAGGTTGTAGGTGGTGACAAGGAGGTGTATGTTCGTGTGGCTGCCCTGCTGCAATGTCAAATCAAAGGTCAGGGTGGAGTCAGTCTTAGGTCCCATCTCCTCGTCCACGTGCACCATGCGCATGTGGGCGGCCATCTTCTCCACGTCGTTGAAGGTGGAGCGGCAGTAGGGGCAGGACAGCCCGTGGATCAGCATGTGGTTGAGCAGCGTGTCCGTGGGCAGGTAGCGGTTGCAGTAGAGACATTTGCTCGTGAAGTTGTGGATTTTCATGATGTAGTTGGCCACCGCAGGCACCTTCTCGGCCTTGTGCTCCTTCTCAAAGTGGACGCTGTACACGTTTTCGGGGAACAGCTCGTTGCAGATTGTGCAGATTTTCCACTTCTGCGTGGATGAGGTGTTGACAGTGGAAGGACCTGTAGCAGCCACGGGGGATTTGGAGCCAGACTGACCCAGAGCTCTGGATGCTGCCTGGGACTGCGACAGCGACGTCTGCTTGAGCTGCGCCGACGACAGCGAGGAGGAGTTGGCAGACTGCAGCGAGTACCTGGCTGAGGCCTGGGACCTCTGCTCCCCGCCCAGAGTGTAAGGCCTTCCATTGCCACTCGCTGAGAACTGCTTCATGCTTTGTGATTGTTGGGAAAGAGAAACGGGTGCATTGCCACTGAGGCTGAGCCTCCCCCCCGGCTGACCAACGTAACTGGGGGGTACCGATTTAACCCCATAATTGTTCTGCTGCAGGTGAACATTTGACATCATATTGACTCCTGCAGAATTTAACGTGGGCTTTGGTATAGTGAGTCTGTTCATCATCTGCTGTGACGAGAGCGAGCGGACACTGCCAGCAGAGAGGGCACCCATCCTCTGAGGGAGTCCCATAGGCTTTTTATCCTGGGGTTTGGGAGCTATTAGCATCAAAGGTTTGGATCTGGGAACCACTACGTTGGTGTGACCTATCATTGCCGTGACCTGGTATCCGATCCGCTCGTGGTCTTCGATCACGTGCTGGACTAAAGCTTCGTAGGATTTCGGCATGAAAAGGCATCGTTTGCAGTGGATCCCCCCCTCCTCTCGGGCACTGGAGCTCAACGGAACCGCACCATTGAGGGACTTTTCGCCTCCCTTGGCTACGTAAGGAGCAGCAACGTGCTGAAAATGTTCCCTGTAAATGTGCTTTCGAACGATTTCGTAGAGCGGGTCACGGTAAGTGCACTTCTTACAGTAATAAACAGCTTGTTCCACACTGTCAGCCTGCTTGGGTTTAAGGCTCTCGTGTTTGTTTTTGTCTTTGAAAGTGCTGATGCCTCCACTCGGTGTACTGGCATTGGGAGCATGGAATATTTTAATGTGCGTTTCCAAAGTCTTTTTGTCCGCGTTGAAGGTACAGTAGGGGCAGTTGAGCAGGATCCTGTTCTCAAAGTCTTCGCTGTGAACGTTCCGGAAGTGGCTTTTGTAGGCTGAAAAGAACTTCGAGGAGAAGGGACACGCGCTGCAGCAGAAGGGCTTTGTCCGATAGTCCTTGAACAGAGAACAGAGCACAGACTGAATATTCACCTGCACTTCTCAGCAAAATAACACCCGTGGTGTTCTCCACACAACACTCGTGAGCCCCCTGCAACTGTCTCAAACCTTCGATTCACTGCTCTCCCATTTCTGGCCTGCAGATGCCCCTCAAAAGCGGATCACATGAACATACACGTGATGTGGAGAGTGCCTTGGGTCCCTCAAGGGTTTAACCATGACCTTGGCAGGTGAGGCTGAGTCAGAAGTGTCCTTCCCTGTTGGTCACAAAAAGGCTCCTCCCTGCAGCTGAGCTGCAAGAAAAGGCCCCCGTGAGCTCCTTTCTGGGGGAAAGCCAAGCAGGACTGTGAGGAAATGAGACTGTATCCAGATGAGATACTGCCCACCTGAATCTGCCAAACTTGATAGTTGTAATATGGATCTATAACTTCAGCTATTTCAGTGTCTTTATCCATTACACACTTTAACAGCAAAGATGGAATTCCAAATTTTTTTTTTTGGTGAACAGAAGGATGCAAGCTAACCAAGACACAGGCTATACAAGCCCTTAAAGCCACCAAGCCTCCTTCTTGTGATCAAAGCACAAACATGATTTAAAAATCAATCTCAAATGAGGAACAAAAAGGTATTTGGGAATTCCACCCCTGCAGTTTGCCTGCAGCTTTTGTCCCATTTAACATGGTGCCAATGCAGCTCTTGTCAACTGCTATAGCACAGTCTGGAGTGCCACTGGCCTTAGGGACAGCCACAAGCAGCCTGGCACTTCAGGTGGAGTGACACAGGGAGCTCAGAGTTACAGAGATTCCTCCTGGGTGTCAGAAGAAGTCCTGTGCACCGAGCTACACACAGGTCACAGGTGAGGGAGCTGCAGAGCTGCACTCTCCCTCTTGTAGAATATCCCTCTGGAATATCTGCTCTGGCCACCTGCTGAAGCCTCACACACCTGGTGGAGCCCCAACAAACCAAGTGACCAAGAGCTGTCTCCTCTTATATCACAATTTTTATTCTGGGTTACTTAGAAAAAGGGACATCAGTATATTTTATGCAAGACAGTACTAAATGGTAATTTTCAGATTCACAGTAGGAATCCATCATAGGATGGGTGCCAGTTTCCTGTGAGAGCAGTACCTGAGCTCTGAGTGCTCACCCAGAGAGGTTTCTGACCTGCACTGCTGGGGTGACTCTGTCCTGCAGCCCCAGCAGAGGCTGCTGCAGCCCACACCACTTGCTTGAACCAACAGCATCGTTTCCTCCCTCCAGTGCTGGCTCCATTCAAAATTCCTTTATTAGTGGCTCAGAAACATCACAACAGCAGGACTCCCAGTGTCACTGAGCTGCTGTGCAGAACCAGAAATGCCCAAAGCAGAGGTGGGACACAGCCTGTGGGACCCAGAGCTGCACTGACAGTGACCCTGCACCAAGCATCCAGTGAAATAGCTTTGGAAGGGATGGAAACCAGGAATAACACATGTAAGGAAAGGTAAAAGACCCCTTGCCAATTGTATAAAGCTGCTGATCCTTTGACCAGAGGGCTGGTGAAATTGTGCTAGGCTTGGGAGCAGGTGGGAATGGGCTCCTAAGGTGCAGCACTGGCCACCCAGGCTCCTGAGACACACAGCAGGAACAACTTAACAAAAGTAAAGAAAGAAACACATAGCTTTTTGCTGTCCCTTGAGCTGCCCACACCTGAAAATCAGCGAGGAAAACTGCAGGAAAAGCTCTTGGCATGTCTGGGAAATGCCCTTCAGCACGACCCATCTCCAGCCTCAGTTGCACTGAAACTCTTACCAACCTGGTTTTTTGTGAGCGATGGGTCCCACAGTCCCACATCCTCCCAGGTAGTGTTTTTCAAATAAAAGTCATTAGGTTCAAACTGCTTAAAATCCTGGAGAGGGGAAGATGGGAAGAGAGGACAGAGTCAGAAGCAAGGCCCAAGGGCTCCCTTAAGCAATCCCTGAGCACCCCCTGCACCCTCCCAGGCAGAGAGCATCACTCAGGGCAGTGGGGGGGTCTGGAGAGCCCCTGCTGGGAGGGGGAGAGCTCTGAATATTCTCCATACCACAAACACCTGCAGAACATCTTCACCACTCACCCTCCTGACCAGCCCAACACTGTAGTTACAAACTCATCTCATTCCAAAAGCAATCCTGGAGAAAAGTGTTCCCAAACTGACAGGTGGGTTTGGGGTATTTTGGCTGCTTTTTCTGGGGGTGGTGGTATGGTATTTATTTTGTTTGATTTGTTTTGTTTGGCTTTTAAATAATTTCACACAGGAAGCTTTTAAAGTTGGACATGTGTGATGTCCAGGACTCCTTATTTTAAAAAATTATCTTATGAAGCATTTCTTTTGCATTTCACCTCTGGCATGAAGTCAGCAGCACTAAAGGACTCAAAAATAACACTCCCACTGAAATGAACAGTGCAAGTAACACTTTCCCATTTCAGAATTCTCCCCTTAAACATGAGACTTGCCCTACAAATTCTGCAAGCAGGAAGGACTGGCATTTTTTTCTTACACATCCCATTTAAGTGTTCTTTTAAAGAGACATTGAAAGACCAGGCAAAGTCTCAGTGATGGAGTTTGTCCAGAAGAGCAGCACAGAGGTGATTCTGTAACTTCAGGACCTGCTGCAGCACAAACACTTCCTGAAAACCTCAGACCCATTTCTGCCCCAACATCCCACACCAGTCCTGGTTCTTCCAGCACTCCTGGGTTTCAGCAGCCACTAATGTTTCTCCAAGTGTTTACAGGTAGACTATATCTCAAGTTTCTAATTAACTCCTACTTTGTGTGGAACTTAAACAGGTCTAAAAAAAATCACAGCATACACAGATAGCTCCCTGTCCCCCCAACTCTGCAGCATTTCAGCTCTAACCCTTGGAGGTGCCATACTTACTTCTATATGTTCTTTACAGTATTCCAAACCAATGTCACTAAGTATTTTTTTCACAGTTTTCCGGGCCTTTCTTAAACTGCCAAGGTTGTTGACAGGAAGTTGGAACATAGTTTCTATTGGAAAAGAAGAGTAAGAGAAAAGGTTTAAGTCAAATGTGTTTCGTTTGATAATGCTGCACTTTTCCTTTTCAGTCATTGTCTGCCTCATTCCCCCCCAGAGCTGCACCATTCCCTAACACTGTTACATCTCTGCCTTGTTCCTTGCTCAGGCTGCCCATGAGGCTGCAGAGGGCACTTCACAGAGGGCAACACACTGATGGAACAGCTACTGCAGGAGCAATGGGCTGCCTCTGGAAAGAACTTCTGTTTCTTTAGAGTGTGTGTCTTTACCAACCCCTGCACTGAAGCACTTCAGAACTCAATTCTCTCCTGTGCAATGTATCCTAACTGATCTGGAAACTGGCAAGCTGAGCTTCAAGGTTTGTGTCAGTCTTGCAAGAGATTTCAGTGTCTCTTCAGTGATAAAGATGCTTCTTGTATTCTGTTGTAGTAGGGTAAGAAATTAATGCTGTTTCCTCCCTCCACTGTACCCAGAGCTTTAACTGGCTGTGTTCAATTCTCCTAGGAAGAGGGGACCTGAAAGCTTGGTCAGATCCCTCCAGAGAGAGAAACCACTGGGAAAAGTACAAGAGATGGTTTAAACCTCTCCATGTCCCTGGGAACTGTCAGCCTCCCTCCCATCAGTGCCCACAGTTCCACTGGGACTGCCCAGCTTAAAGGGAATCCAACTCATGAACTGCTCTTTTCCTATGCTCTATCCATCCTCATCTGTACAGTGAAAACAATGTCTAATGCAACCTAGAGCAAGCCAGGTCCCTTTTAAAGACATGAAGAATGATTTCAGTGCTTCAGAAACAACTCCAGTCACTGCATCATCCCATTTCTCAGAAAAAAAAATCAGTGAAGCAGCTGAGTATGGTCAGGATTTGAATTAATATTTTCAACTGAATTTCAAATCCAAGGAGATCATCAGAAATGTTACTCCTGGTGATTAATATGAACTGCAGAAAGAGCAGTGCATGAACACAGTGGATGTTAAAGCTCCTGGCAATCCGGGCTGCCTTCTCTGAATCCCAAGTCCCCACCTGAAGAGTGAAGCCCTGTGCTTGCAAAGAAAAGCTTTTTTGTTCTCATGACACAGCCAGAGCCAGTGCAGAGCTTGTCTTTAGGCAGTGATCACTTGTACACCTGAGTCAGCCACAAGTCTCAAAATACTCTTGGTATCTCACAGCAAATTTCAAAATGCCACTGAACTTCTTCAGCAAAGGCATCAAACGCTTTCTCTTAACTCCTGTGTCTAATACAGCTGAACAGGCCACAGGTACCATGGTATACACAAACTCAGGCAATTATTTACAACTGCCTGAAAGGAACATCTCTGGTCTATCTGCAGCATCTTTTTCCTCTGCCCTTTGCCTGCCTCAGTCAAATTTTCAAGACATGAAATTCCCTGGATCTTCCTATCACCACCTACCGTAACAGAGGACAGAGTTAGATCTTCACACCTGAAACCTGAACTCTCAAACATCAGCTTTTAACATCAATCTTACTTTGCAAGCTCTGCTGGACAGCTGAATCAAACCCACCTGACTGTAACAAAACCCCTCATCCTTAGGCATACACAGTTCATTTTATTTAGGAAATGTCTGACTATTTAATCTTAGTGAGTGGAGAGCCAGGTACAGCCTGATATTATTACAGGCTGAGACTACAACAAAAGCTTTTAGCATCTCCATCCATTTCTATTTACAGCAAGTAACTCCGGTTGTAATGTAAACATCACTCTGCTGGCACCTCCTTGGATGGGGACATAAAAGCAGTTGAGATTAAGCAGCCTCTCAAATCATCATCTAGGCATTAATGCTGCCCTGGAAATGAGGGATCCTTTATCTGACCAAAAGCTGATGTTTAAGGGAAGACACCTGGAGCATCTCTGACCACATCAATCTACACTGAAGTGCTGAGTGGAATGAATAAATGACTGCTTAAAACCAACCCCAAAAACACCCTGACTAGAAACATCCAGGCAGGATCTTCAGGTGCCTCAGAAGGCATATCCCAAAGCTCTCCCTCAAGTGCAGTGTGTGCACACAAAGTGTCTGGCTGCACCAGCCACAGGGGAATGGCAAAGGAAGCACAGTGACTGTGAGCATCTGGAACCTTCCTTTGCTCTGTCTGTGCAGTTCCCAGCACAAAGGTCTTGTCCACAGCCAGGTACTGACTCCCAGAACAACTCAGCAGCCAAATGGAAGCAGAAAAGACAAGCTACAAGACAGAAGAAAACTAACTTAGGAGCACCACACTCTAAGTTCTCACTTCACATTTGCAAGAGTGAATGCTTTCTTCACTACATTCCTGTGCCAGTGCACAGAGCCTCCCCTCTGATCTCAGCACTGCCCTCTGAGCCCACAGCTGTGCCCTGAGACACAGAGGGAGAAACACCAAACCCTCACAGCAGTCAAACCATCAAGGGGATAAAGGACAGAAAGCCTGCACCTGGCCCTACACTGCAGAAGCAGTTCTTCTTTTAGTGCAACTGAATTCTTAATTCTCCAGTGGGTCTTTTGTACTTTGGCCCTGGTCAGGACCCCCAGTGCCCCAGGAGAGAGGTGCTGGGCTGTTCCTGCTCTGACTCAGGAAATGGGACATTTCTGACTCAGGAAATGGGGGATCTTCCCACGTGCAGCTCCACAGCACCCACAGGGAACAGGGCTGCAATGACTCTGGGAAAGGTGCCCCACTGAGCTCCCTTCATGCCTGGACATTACTCAGGGTGCTCCCTGTGCTTGGCTGATGTCTCAGCTTTGGTACAGAACAACCAAGCACAATGGATTTCTGCTGTCAGTCTGCAGAGTAAAACAATGGCTTTCATCCAGAAATAAAGACCTAAAGAAATCATCTGGAGGAAGATGCTGCTGTGTAAAGGAACCATGACAGCACCACTCCACTCTTCTAGCAAATCTACTCTAGGTTTAATTGTATTTATGCTTAACTGGAAATGGCACCCTGTCCTGCCCACTGCCAGGGAAGCCTCCCCACGAGCAGCAGGCACAGGATGTGGGTGACCCTGAGCACTGCACTGAGCAGGAGTCTGCCCACAGCAGGGTCAGGGGACAGCATTGCTGGGAAATGGCAAGTGAAAACCAGTTATGGAATCCCCAAAAGCTGTAAACAAAACCCTGGTGCCCAGTGCCTTTTATCTTGTTCAGGCACCCCAGACCTGTGGGAGTTGGCCACCCCAGCCACCCCTCCTGCACTAAGGTACTTTCTTCACAGGATCATCATGGAATGGCCTGGGTGGGAAGGGACATTAAAGCTCACCCAGTTCTCCCCTGCCATGGGCAGGGACACCTTCCACTATCCCAGACTGCTCCAAGCCCTGTCCAACCCTGCCTTGGACACTTCCAGGGATGGAACAGCCACAGCAAGAATCACTGTAAGGGGCTCACAGGGAAGAATTTCTTCTTAATATCTTCTAATTTCTTCTTTTTATCTCTTGAGCTGAATGTTTCTTAAAAGCATTCCATGAAATTTACACTTCCATTCAACTTTCTCTAAATAAGTGACCTCAGCATAAAACTGTGGATGCAATTACAGCCCTCTTGTACATGATTAAAAAGAATGATATACAGCATCAGTTTTACCTTCTCTTTTGAGCACACAAGGTTGACCTTCCCCTTCCTAATGTTCTCATTTATTCCTATTATGAAAACTGAGAAAACCTGAACTTTGTGGTGATCTGACAACCAGAATTACCAACCACCCTGTAGAACAAAGCAGTAGGTGTGAACAAGTGTGCAAAACAGACATTTGTATAAGCAAGGTGCAAACCCAGCCTGTTCTGTCCCATTGTGACTCAGCTCAATCTTGTCTTACTAAAATAATCAGCAGTGTAAGAAGTCTAGTTCATTAAAGCAAATTTTTAATCCATTTTGATCGAAAATAGACTATTTGCTGTTATTTCTGTGCATGCTTATAAAACACAACCGCTCTTACTCTGGTTCCCCTCTCCCCCTCATCATCCTCTGCTGCTTCACAAGGTCCATCCTTTCCAAGCTCCTTCCCCCTCTCCTTTCTTTGCTGGTTCTTGGCCTTCTGGGTCCTTACCTCGCTCATTTTCCCTCTTCTCCTCTTCCCTGTGCCAATTCATAGCGTCCACATTCTTTCGTCGTTCTCTCTCATCCTGTCTCCACCGCTTCTTGATATCTTTGTCCTTAACTTGCTCATTTTCTCTCCTCTTCTCATCATCCCTGTGCCATTTTATTGTTTCTGTATTTTTCTGCGGCTCCACGCTTCTTTTGAGATAGTCTTGTCGCCTCCTCCTCTTTTTTAACATATCCCTTTCCCTGGCACGAGCCTGCTTTTCTTTCTGGGAAAGAAAAGCTTTACGGGGCATCATGAGCTGCTGCTGTACCTGCAATAATATGGTATCCATGGAATAATGCACTCTGTACATGCACAACGGCTCACCTGGAGCCCCACACTTCACACACAGGCACTGCCCTGCTCCTCCTCTTCCCTCCTGAACCTGGGCTCGCTCTGAGCTGGGTCAGGCCAGGCCGGGCCAGCTCCAGGGGCCACCTCAGCTGTGGCAGTGGCATTTCTGTCCCCTCCCTGCCTCTGGCAGCCCCTTGGCTTTGCTGCTCCCTGTGGGCTGTGGGTGGACAGAGCTGTGAAGGGAACCTGGGGACCTTCAAAGCAGTCCCCTCTCTTCCTGGAGAGATACATCTAATCCAACTTAAAGGTGCTCATTTTTCTTTCCAGACCTCCATCTCCACGGAATTTGGGTGAAAATGGCTCTCTCGGCTGGGAGGAGGGAGGGGGGATTAGGAGACAAGCCACAATCTGAAAAATTGTGTAAGCTTTGTTTCCTGGGGAAACCTGGCCAAAACATTTAACTGCAGTTAATGAAATAAGTCCTGACTCATCTACCCAGACTTCCTCCAAGTGTGTTATGTCTTGCTATTCACAGGAACAAAAGGAAAAAAATGAGACTATTTACTTGGAGTTTCTGCTGACAGCATTCCTGAGGGGTGGGGTTTCTTGGGGTTGGTGTTTTGAGGCTTGGGGCTTTTGTTTCTAATGGGGTGCCAATGGAGACTACATTTACCAAACTGTTTTTACTTTTGGTCATTTCTCTGCAGTCACCCAACACCCTCATATTTTCAAATGTAAAAGTGTTAGTACCTGCAATTTTGAAATAATGGAAGAATTTATACCATTATTGATAACCTTTAAATATTTTTGTGTACACACTGAGCAGTGTTTCAGAAATGCCAAACTGCAGTTGTAGGCCAGGTTTGAGTTGTTTGGTTGGGTTTTTGTTAAGTTTTGAAGAAAGATTTGCAGAGGTCTAATCAAAATGAAAACTGCAGATAGGACAAAATTACTGGATTACAATACTTAAGCAAAGCCTAAAACAAAATGAAACAAATGTACTTTTAAAATTTAGCTACCTTATGGAAAGCACTTGTTCCCAGCATGCAATACTCCATCTTTTTCCTACAGAAAAAGCAATGTTTCAAACCCTTATTCTAAAAGCTGTTCCTTTCTCCTACAATACACCCCACTCCACACACTGTAACCCTCTACTCTGGTCTACTGCCTTTGTTAGGTCTGTATCATGATCCCATGGCTTTCATTCCAATAATTCAACCCCAAATTTCTTAATATCCATAATAATGCTAAAAGGGAAGGGCTGCAGCAGAGTCAAAAACCATAATCAAAAAAAAATTCATGCAGTGTGGTAACACATCAGTACATAAAATTCAGATTATGCTAAAAATGTCTTCATTAAAAGGGTAGCTCTCTACCAGACAGCCTGGGTTTGGGTATTAAATATTTCCCAGTAACAGTTGGCATTAAAACCAAAAAGCAACGGGAACCCAGGATCAGCATCCTCAGTGCAACCCAGACACTGCAAATCTGTAGCACAGCTTCAGTTCTCTGTGGGCTGGCTGCCAGGACATTACTGCTGTTTACTAGAGCAAACTTAACTCATTAACTTTGTAAATGTACATTATCATTACAATTTTATCAGTAACCCGGTTCAATTTCAATAACAATAACACCAAACACATCATGCAAATGATTTTCCCTCCCCCACCCAAGGCAAGTACCAACATTTCAATCTGTCATTGTTATATTTTCTTTCATTTGTTTCTGTTTAGTTTGCTGTTGGGGGCTTTTCCCCCTTCAGTTTTATCTTTTCACAGTATTCTCCCCTCCCTTTATACAGCTCACTTTGATCAGTTTATAGACAAATGATAGAAAATACCTTAATAAAGAGCATTTCAGCTGAATTTCCAAAATTAAACATTTCACTTGAGATTCAAATAAGTAATGTCATAGTCCAAGGAAAAACTTAAAGGGACATCCAACTTAAATTGCAGATCTCTGAACTTCCCTATGCCAAGTCAGAGTGCTTCCCCCCAGTTTGTTTAGCATTCCAGAATCTCTCTCTTGCAGTCTAAACCAGCTTTCACTTTCACCTCTGATGGTTTTAAATCAACAGAAGAGAGAGAATCTGAAACCAGGGAACCAATTAATCTGCAGTGAAGCTGCCAGAGTGATTGAACCCAAACCCCCAACCTCTCAATTTTTCTAGAGTCCAAGTTGGTGTTCCTTTAAGTTCAAAACGTCCAAACTTCAGAAGTGAACAGTCTAAACTATCCTTTCAATTACTTTTTTGCCCATACTTTGCCAAATGAAAATCTTTACTCCTCCCCATCCCTGCAGTACTTCTGATGAGGCATTTACCTCCAAAATGAATGGTGCTTGGGCGTCTCAGACTCATTGGACAAGCTTCAAGCACAGCCTCCAAAGCCAAGTCTCCTTGCAGAATGCCCCCTCAGGGCTGTGTCACACCCCCCGGGGGAGCCCAAAGCCCGGGCACACAGGAAGGCTCATATCCTGCTGGACAAAAGAGATAAGAGGTGTGATAAGGGCAGTGTCACACTGACAGCTACAAACTGCAGCAGGTCCCAGCAGGTTTGTGCTCCAGCAAAAACTGCTGGGGGACTCTGCAGTGCTCAGCTTTCAGCTCAGGCAGCCAGTTCAGAAACCCAGCAGTGCAGAGGCTGGGAATGCTCCTCCTCACACTGCATCCCCCCCTGCAGTGCCCTGGCTCACCCCCATGAGCACCTCACCCCAGCTATCAGCACCACAGCACAGCTCAGGGACACTGCCACCATCCTGGGACACCTCCCGGAGGCTCCCGTACAAACAGGTCCCACCTTACATGACAATGGGACCTCAAACAGGTGGCATGGCCTTCAGCCACAGCCCTGGGGACACACATTCCTCCGGGAAGCGCTCAGATTAAACCTGGCAGAGGATGGGGAGTCTGGGGAAACGGGAATGTAAATGATCACACTTTGTTGGAAGACTGATCCCTCTTCAACTGCATCAGCCACGGACAGAAAGTCAGTCTTGCACATACTGGAAACACAACAGGTAAATATAAATCTGAAACTACCAAATCTAACGTTTATAAAAGCAAAACTTGTTGAGTCATTCATAATTACTCTGCCAGGGAATAAGGCAATATAAATTGTTAGATTTTAATCTCTTGATTACTCAGACAGAACAGCCTGAAGTAGAGAGTGCTTTTCTTTGGCAAGTACACTTCCAACACAAGACACCACAACGTTTTAAGAAATTAAAAAAGACAACATTCTTAAAATACTTCACATGGCAGCAAACCTGAATATTGGAACATTGCATGTGCTTTATTTAACAAGAGCATCACCCACACCCTCGGCCACGCAAAGATGGGTTATTTTGTTCCACACTGGATCATTTTCTGACCAGAAGGCAGACTTTGTGTCCCTGTGTGTCTAGCAAGTCCAAATGAACTGGGGAGTCCTCCCTGCAGCAAACACACTTCTGGGTGAGGACCCATCAGGCTCGAGAGCAGATCAGTGGCAATTACTGCATCAGCCTGATGATGCTGAGCTCAGGGAAGCACTTCATCCCACGCTGGGTCCCCCAAACACTGAGGATCATTTCTGTGCTGTGCTGCTGACAAGGATCCCCAAGCATCTGGCATGCTTCTTATGTCATGTCATCCATATTCCTTTGGTTTTAGCCAGTATTTCAAGCTGAAGAAGCCACTGGTTTATACCTAACAGCCCAAGACAGAATCATACATCAGAGCTGGCAGCAGCTCTGGGTTCCTGGGCAAGATGAAACAAGACTTGGTTTCTTGATACTGTGTGTTTTATTTCCCTCCTCCAGCTGCTTTTGAAACAAGGTAACTTTTAACAATTTGCCCAGCAAACTGCCTTTCATAGCGTGCTCTTTTTAAAAGCCAGCCATGAAACAGATTTGCAGACAAGGCTGGTAGCACAACACTGAGTGAAATCTCTTAAAATACAGGGAAAATATGCAAGAAAATGAACCTGTGGTTCCCACAGCAACAGAAAAGATGCCTCTCTGTGTATGCAGGTTAAATGATGCTCTGTGGTGTGATGGTGTAGAATATTCTATATTCACATGAGGACAGTGATGGCCTGTCCCTGGAACCTGACAATTCCAGGACAGCTGAGCAAGGAACATTGACAGACGGGAAGCACAAGGGTTATCTCAGGGAACAGTGAGCAAGTGGAACAGAAATATCAGAAAAAAAAGTATCAGAAAAAATAAAAGCATGAGAAAAAAGGAATAGAAGTATGAGAGAGAAGAGAGAATTTGGGAGATCAGAAACTACTGAGAGCTTCCTTGAAAGTAAGAGTTGCAATTAACTCTCTGCTCCCCGTACAGAGAGAGTGATTGAAGAGTCTCTCCCAACACACCTCTCACTGGCTGACATTGAGCATTCTCACTTTCTTCCCTGGGACTCTTCCCTTTCCTCCTTATTTAAGCATTTCTGGCCTAGTTTTGGAACGGCTGTGCACCCACACCCCTGTGCAGGTAATGAGATTTGCAGTTCAGCAGCACATCTGAAACGCCAGACAAGGAGGGCTCCTTTGCAATCCGCTGTAATCCCGCAGGGAGCCTGTTTTGTAACAGCGACATTTCCAGCTGGGAGCAGCTCCTCAGCCCGGCCCCTGGGCCACCTGCAGCAGGGTGGGCCTCCAGCTGCTCACAGCTCAGCTCCAGCAGGGATTTGGGGTGCAGAGCCAGCCCCTGCTCTGAGGGAGCCCCAGCCCTCCTGCTCGGGTCTGTACCCCAAACAGGACTGGGCGCACGAAAGAGGAATCAACACAAACCCCAAATGACACCCTCAGTTATGGGGCTGATGGAAATGCCCAGCTGCAAGCTGCTACCTGGACAAAGCACTGTAAGACCTGTGCACAGGACACACTCCAGCTCTCCCTCACAGGCAGTTTGCTAACAGCTCCTTTGTCAAAAAGCCAAGGATCAAAAAATATTAAAAACCACTTCAGAGATTTGATCAGCAACTCCCAAAACCAGTTTCAAGCTGTGTGTCAAAACAAAAGGACCATTTCACACCACTTTTCAGGGCATCCTACACAAACATGGCCTCAGGAGAGAAGTCCATCTAAAATGTGGTACTGAAGAAAACCCCACCTCATCCTTGGGAGGAAATCATAGACTAAAAACGTTTAACATCCTGTTTCAGTGGTTACAGGCAGTTTTCAGCAAAGGTTTATGAAACTCTGGTTTATACCTTTTTGTTTGGGCTTGCTGCCTAGCCTCAGCTTGACTCTTGCATTAAGAACTCCCAACTTCCCATCCAAGGAAGAACTATGGAAGGCAGCTGTAGTGAAAGGAATTAGTAAGGCTGATATGCCTCAGTCTCCATTCATTCTTTATTTAAAGGCTAAAAAACCACCTTCTGCAGCCCTGCACACAGGGATCTCCTAAGTCATTCACACACTTCTCATTCTTGCTCAATTTCTGGAATTTTCCACTGGAGCCCGAAGCTCCATCTGGTGGGTGTGGACACTCACTGCAAAACTGAGCAGGAATTAACTGTTTCCTCATCAACTTCGGTTCAGCAGGACTCCTGGGCACTGTGGCATCTCTGTGCCCCAATGTGACATACAAAATGGTCAAATTTGGATTGCTCTGGGAATCACAACTCCTTGTTTCTGTTCTGGTGAACAATCTGCTTCCCTAGGCTCTGCTGGGAACTCCAGGTGGATTTTCTAATTTTGATGATGAAGGCTGAGGTATGTTAAAGAATGCTGGTGGCTGTAGTTGAATGCTTTCTGAGGGATCTTTTCAACACACATGATAAAGGCCACATCAACCCTGGTAACCTCTGTTGCATTCTGAAAAGCACTTTGAAGTCGTGTTCGTTCTCTAGGGCACAAGAAATCCTGAATTACAGACACTCATAGCTCCAGAATTAGGCTTGCACACCTCCTGCCATCTTAGAGAATATCTTTTGTGACTGTTCAAGACCTCCACAGACAAATGTTTATATGCACACAACATGGGCAGTTAAATCAATATTCAATACACATCCTCAGTGTGAGAGCCAGGCTTGTTCAGGGCTATTTCTAAAAGATTTTGGTGTGAAATGCAATAAAGCCTGCACATCTTGCAGAAATTTAAAATCCAGACTGGAGATCATTGAAGCACAAAGGATATTATTTGCTTACACCATGATATCCACACCTCAGTGATCAGCAAAAACGACTGCATGAATATGCTCTACAATTCCAAAATAATCCTCATCTAGATTGTAGCTAAGCATGAACAATCCCAGAATAAAAATAATTTTGGAAATAGAAGCATGATTAATGAATGAGCAGTTACCATTTAAATCAAGAATCATCTTTAAATTTTCAATCCAAAGCTCACAAAAACGATTGTGTAATTAAACAAAGCAGCACAGTAGTTGCTGTAAAATGTGCAAGAACAAAGCAAATAATCAATATACACGTAATTTATGACTGGATTACACCGACTGGGAAACTGCAGCCAGATCAGACTGCAAGTGAAAATGGTCCCCTGCCCTCTGTGTCATGTTTCCTGACATCAGCACTGTGTCCACAGCCAGAGCAGAGCCCTGATGCAGCCAGAGGAGTGGTTTGGGGCAGAGCAGCTCCTTCCCTCACCCAAACAGCGGTGCTGGGCCCCGGCCAAGCCCCGGGGCAGCAGGAAGCAGCTCCAGCCCTGCCCTGGCAGCTCCCACACACACAGAGACAGACACGGACACACAGGCACAGATACACACACAGATACACACACAGGCACAGATAAACAGACACAGGCACTGATACACACACAGATACACACAGAGGCACAGACACAGACACACACAGGCACAGACAAACACACACAGGCACAGATAAACACACACAGGCACTGATACACACACAGGCACACTCACACAGACACACACACAGAGACACACACAGAGACACACACAGAGACACACACAGAGACACACACAGAGACACACAGGCACTGATACACACACAGAGACACACAGGCACTGATACACACACAGAGACAGACACAGGCACTGATAAACACACACAGGCACTGATACACACACAGAGACAGACACAGACACTCACAGACACTGATACACACACAGACACACTCACACAGATACACACACAGACACAGATACACACACAGATACACACACAGACACAGACACACACACAGAGGCACAGATACACAGACACACACACAGGCACAGATACACACACAGGCACACACACAGACACAGGCACAGATACACACACAGAGGCACACACACAGGCACAGACACACACACAGGCACAGACACACACACAGACACAGACATTCAGGTATTCACACCCAGAGCAGCCCTGCTGTGCCCTCAGCACACAAACCAGCACACAGAAGAGCACAGGAATACTTTCCCCAGCTCATCCAAAGCCCCGCCAATCCACGCTGTCTCAGACAGCAGATCCAGCAGATACTGGAGGGATCTCGCCAACTGGCTGCATCTGAGTTTTCCGAGGGTAAAAATAGGCACTGAAGGAGGCTGGTGCTGCTTGTTTTCCCCTGCCTTACACTTCACACACGCGAGGCACAAACGCTGCCATTACAACACGGGGAAGGGCTGTAAACAAGAGCTTCAGACCAGTCTTACACTGCACATTTCTTACCTCTCCCTGTCTGCCTAAGCACAGCTCCCAAGGGCTCCAGTCCCTGCCTACATTCCAGCCTTAGGCCACCTCAGCTACTGCTGTCTTCCATCTGCCTCAGGAACCTTCGACAGGCAAAGGGCTTCATAGCAACAGCAGCAGCAATGGGGAAACAAAAACGAAGATCACAAACTTGAGTTTGACTGTTTAGGTGAGAAAAGCACTTTAAGATCACTATCTTGCCCACTCAAGACTTCCAGAGCCATTTTGTCCCCTTACTGTTGCTGCTATGAAGCTGCATCACCAAGAGCTTCCTTGGCCCAGCTGCAGCACGAGCACAAGCTGTGAGATGCAGGGTCCCATCAGACACCAGTGCACACAGAGGGAGAACAGGGTGAAAGACAGCACTGGCTGAGACCCGGGAGATGAGCTGGGGCAGGGAAGAACCAGCCAAAAGTGAAGGCAGGCCTGAGAGCAGGCCCCTTCCTCCACCTGCAGGACTGGAGGAGTGGGAGTGGTCCCTCAGGGAACAGCTGCTCACACAGTTGCTTTATTTTTGTTTCTTGCAAATCGTTTTAGATACTACTTGAGAAGTAGGTATTAAATGAAAGATTTTTGCCAAGTGATCTGCATACTTCTGCAGGTGTGATGTGTCCACAAGGTCAACTACACAGGCCTTGGACTCAACAGCCACAGTCAGTTTTCATCTAAATAATCCTCAATGCCACCTTAAAAAAAAAAAATCCAGTAAGGATATAAATGGCGGTAACTGAAAGTGACTCACTGCAGAAAAAATGGTATTTACTCCATTCTTACTCCAAACCATCAACCCTCATTCACATTCAAGAGCACTACAGAGAAATCAGAGACACTAAATACAAGCTCCTGTTTGCCTCCTGACACCAGAGCTGCAGTGAAGCTCTGAACAATGCAGTTCTTGCACATGGCCCTCAGGTAGAGAAACAGGAGTTACACCCTCTCGAAAAGCCTTTATTCAAATCTGGAACACACATCTGATTTTCAAACCAGACTTAAGTTCTTCTGAAAGCTCAGAAGGAACAGGCCAATTTGGCCAGCCTGCCTAGGAGAGCAAGGGCATTCTTCCCAAATGTGTCAGGTGAGGCAAAATAAACCTCCCACATATAATGAAGCTAAAGGATTTCTTTCTAGTAGAAATAAATTAACATCAACAAGAGTTCTTTTTTTTTTCCAATGCAGAGACTCAGAGCAGCACCTTTCATTGTCATCTCCATCTCTTACACTATCAAGAAACACCACTAGCAACAGATTTATTTATATGAGCAGAACTATCTCCACATTAAAAATTATCCTGTTACAATTATGTTCATAGGAACCATACCCTATATATATATATACACAAATCTGGCACAGAGCAGCTCTTGACTCACTATAACAAAAAAATCGAGTGATGCTTGTTTAGATACAGGCCAGCACAGTCAGCTGTTGCCAGAGAAATCAGAGACACTAAATACAAGCTCCTGTTTGCCTCCTGACACCAGAGCTGCAGTGAAGCTCTGAACAATGCAGTTCTTGCACATGGCCCTCAGGTAGAGAAACAGGAGTTACACCCTCTCGAAAAGCCTTTATTCAAATCTGGAACACACATCTGATTTTCAAACCAGACTTAAGTTCTTCTGAAAGCTCAGAAGGAACAGGCCAATTTGGCCAGCCTGCCTAGGAGAGCAAGGGCATTCTTCCCAAATGTGTCAGGTGAGCAAAACAAAGCTCCCACATATAACGAAGCTAAAGGATTTCTTTCTAGTAGAAATAAATTAACATCAACAAGAGTTCTTTTTTTTTTCCAATGCAGAGACTCAGAGCAGCACCTTTCATTGTCATCTCCATCTCTTACACTATCAAGAAACACCACTAGCAACAGATTTATTTATATGAGCAGAATTATCTCCACATTAAAAATTATCCTGTTACAATTATGTTCATAGGAACCATACCCTATATATATATATACACAAATCTGGCACAGAGCAGCTCTTGACTCAATATAACAAAAAAATCGAGTGATGCTTGTTTAGATACAGGCCAGCACAGTCAGCTGTTGCCTTTTAAACAAGCATGGTGCATGCACCTTAAAGAAAATAATCCCACTAAATGTAGCATTATTAATATACAAATTCAGCTGCACTAATGACTTTTAAAAACTTGTCAGTTTTGCCCATGCAGGTAGAGCAGCTCCAAGGGCCCCTGTGAGACAACACTCTGAGCAGCTGCAGCTCCAGAGTGTTCCCTGCCTCTCCTGGCACCTCTCCTACAGTCTTTAATCTGGTCCTCCTCAGATCTGGTACTGCTTTGTTCATTCCAAACAAAGTTTTGTCTCCCTTAAACATCTCGAGTAGTGGAGCAAAGATGACTTTCCCTTTCTGAAAATAAAACCCCACAAAAACCACCCCAACACATTTCCTATGAAGCTGTTAAATGTTACTTGCAGCTACCTCAAAACAAACACATTAACCCAGGAGCATCTCTGCTTCCACAAAATCACTTGTTTCCATTTCTTTCTTTGCATCAATCAAATCAGCTGCCATCTTAATAACAAGCTATAAAATACACATTTGCACCGTATCACTTACGACTGCTGATAAGATTCTGATACATTTCTGTATTCCAGGAATTCTACTGCAAACTTCAATGTTTACTTTCAGTATTTATGTTACTGCAGAGTGGCAAAGTGGGAATAAGCAGCCATTCTTCACCCTGCAGTGTGTGAGCAGCACAACCCACCTGCCCCAGAAGCGTGTCCTGCCTTTCCCTAGAGCTCCCAGTGCTCAGAACAGCACAGGCACTCCGGGCAGCACCAGCCAAGGAGAGTTTACACTTAACCCACACACTGTGGCAACGACAGAGACCACTGTGTCAGTGGCAGGGAGCACTTCTGACCACTGGCAACTTCTGCCCTACACACCAGAAAACCCATCACCTTCCTCCTCTCAGCCTGAGGAGCACACACACCTTCCTGGGGGCTGTGTTTGTGCAGCTGATGCTTAACACTGCGGGGCATGAACTTTCCAAAACAGTCAGGAAGTTCCTCTTCTTTTCTTTCCTGTGAAGACTTTTCTTTCCCAGCTGTGACACCAGGTCTGTCTCACCTACAGGCAAAGGAGCCACCTTTCACCTTCCCCTGCACATCCAACAGCAGCCACCTCCCTCCCTCCCTCAGCTGAACACAACCGAACTGCAGGCTCTTCATGACAGCACAGCCTGAAGCAGAAATAGTGGTGACCTAAAGGGATGCCTTCCACATGAGCGACTGAGGGACCAGTGCTTCAAATCAAAACAAAAAAAAATTACTTTTAGTGTGGTGACCTAAAGGGATGCCTTCCACAAACCTGTCTGAGCGACCAGTGCTTCAAATCAAACAAAAAAAAATTACTTTTAGTAATGGGGCACTAAAACGGTGTCAGTTTTCAATGATCTCAGAGATGTCCCCTGGGAGCATCTCATGTCTACTGGATACCAAAAAGTCACTCTTGAATGCTAGCTAAGAAATAATGCTAAGTTGAGCACAGGGCAGCTAACCACCAAAAACAGTGCAAAAACATCTAGCTTAGTGTCAGTTTTGGAGAACAAGTTATTGGTTGTCTGTCAAAAAGGACATCTCTGTTTAGACTGACGTTGGAAGTATTTGCTGTAATAATCTTCAGAAAAGGTAACCATTATGTTACAACCCATCAGCATCTGGTGCAATTGTCTAAACAGGGTGTTTCTCTTCTGATGTCTCTTTTAAGATTTCAGCACACATTATGGTAGCTGTCCATCTACTGATATCAAATTACTGCCCAACATCTGCAACTGCACATCTGCAAAGGAACCAAGCTTTGGTTTGTTATTAAAAGCAGAAAAAAAAAAGAAGGCTTTTCTGTTTCTTAAGCAGACTGATCCATCTTTCTCACCTAGAAGGATGACAACTTGTGATTATGAGTTCGCAGAGTCCTGAAGTGAAAGTTTTCCAAGCAGGAGACCCTGCAGGAGGGAGCACTGCTGAGGCACACAGGGCTGAGCTGCACAGCAGCCAGCTAAGGTCGGTCCATGCTACCCCGACAGGCGGGAATCCTCTGCCTCCGTTACCTCACACCTCCAAACAGAAACAGAAAATAGCAGCAAAAATAAACAGAAACACAGCTAGGGGGGGAAAAAAAAACAAAACAACCCACAACTTAAGAAAAAGAGGGATTTCTCCACAAGGAACACAAACCTCTCTGACACCTACCAAACGGCCTAAATACACCTAACAACCATCAAGACCTGGCAGCGGCCAGTTCCGTTGCGGGGGCAGACAAAGGCACCCCCCCGGTGCGCGGACGGCCCGGCCGGGCGGTGACACGAGCCGGGCCCGNGGCCGGGCTGCGGCGGATTTCGGGGGGGGGCCGGGGGTGTCACGCCCGCGGCCGCTGCCCGGAGGCACCGGGGGTGCGCCCACAACCCCGCGCACGCACCGCCGCTTGTTTTGGAACCCCCGCTCGGGCCGCGGCCGCCGGGGGAAGGGGGTGCGTGGCACGGGGGTTATCTGTCCGGTGCGGCTGCGAGGCACCGGGTTTGGTGTCCCCCCCGCCTTTGTCTGAGAAACCGGTGTCGGTAAGTGCAGCCCGGGGCAGGGATGGGTGAGGTAACGGCGCTCCATCCCGCAGCTGCGGCTCGGGATGGCAGCGGCGGCTCCCGCCTTTTCCCGCGGGCAGGGACCCCTCGGCTGCTCCCATTCATCGCATCCCCGGCGCCGCTCCAGCACCAACTCCGCCGGCGGGGCCCGGTGCAGCTGCACACCGGGATGCCGGACGCGGCCGGCAGCAAGCGGTCCCGCTCCCTCGGGCTGCCGGGACACGTCCGTGTGGGGAAGGGAGGCGGCCGGGGCCGGCGGCGGGGAGGGAGCAGCGCCGCGGTTCCCGCAGCCGCCGGGGCTCCTCAACATGTGTGCGGGCGGGGAGGGGCCGCTGCCAGCTCCGCACGCCCGGTGCGGCGGGCAGGGCGGCGGGCACGGCGCGGGATGCCCGGGGGAGGGAGGGGGCGGTCGGGCGCTGTCCCCGCCCGGGTCGCACCGCGGACCCGCGCTCGCACCTACCTGACCGGGCTCTCCTCGCAGCGAGGGCGGGCTGGGTGCCCGGGGCGGGGGCGCGGGCGGGGGCAGCGCCCGGGCCCCTCAGACAATACAGCCGGGTCCCGCTGCCCAGAGCCTGCCCGGGCCAAGATGGCGGCCGAGAAAGAGCGGAAGTGACGCCAGACCCTCATTAGCATACGGGACTCATTGTCCGGCGGGAGCTCTGCTCTGCTCTGCTCTGCTCTGCCAGCCCGGCCCGACCGGCCTTCGACCCGGCCTCGAGGCCGCCGGGGCCTGCCGTGTCCATCCGTCGGAGGTCGCGGGGATGCTGCAGCGCCTGGAGCATCTCGGTGCCCAGGAAAGGCTGAGGGAGCTGGGGCTGCTCAGCCTGGAGAGGAGCCCAGCTGAGAGGGGCCCTCAGCCCTGGCTGTCCCTGTGTGCAGAGGTCAGAGCGGGCCCAGGCTCTGCTCCGGGCCCCAGAGGCACGGGCAGGGCCTGAGCCCAGCAATTCCCTCACAGGAGGCAGAGCTGCTGCCCTGGGCAGTGCCCAGCCCTGAGCAGAGCCCAGAGAGGCTGTGGAGTCTCATTCCAGAACAGTCTGGACACTGTCCTGTGCCGTGTGCTCTGGGTGGCCCTGCTGGAGCAGGAGCTGGCACCAGCTGAGCCAGAGTCCCTGCCAGCCCGGCTGGCTCCCGGGTTGTGCCCAGGGAGGGGCCCAAGCCCAGGGAGGGCAGGAGGCGTCGTGTGAGGCGATGGCCGCGTGGGAGCCTCCCTGGGACACCCTTTGCCAGGCTCGCCATGGGCTGGGACAGTGGCACTGAGCAGGGGGTTCTGTGAGGCCACACGGGAGCTGGGTGATCTACACACTGCCGCGCTCTCAAATCCGAATTAGCCGCAGAACCACAGAATGTGCTGAGCTGGAAGGCGCCCACCAGGAACATGGAGCCCTGCGCAGGAATCCATCCCTCCGTGTGCCTTCACGTTTTGGGTTAACAGCCTGAGAAGAAGCCAGCGCCCAGAGGCAGGGCTGTGATCTTCCTGGTGAGCCCTGTGCAGTGTTCACACACCTGTGCAGAGCCACTGCACATCCCATTTTGCAGCAGGAACACTGGATCAGGACAAGACCCCGCATGCCATTGTACCTTGTGGATCATGACACTGCTCAAGATCTCTTCAACAAACAAGGATGAGTTCTAAAAAGCCTTCTAGGAGTGAAAGGGATGGATGGATTTTGTTACTGCAGAAAGACACAAGCACCTGGAAGAGGAAGTAAAGTGTAATTCCCTCCATCCTTAATGTTCACACCCTTTCTGGTTCAGTGACACACTGGAGTTCAGCCTCACAATGCTAGAAAGGAAATTTAATTCCTTGCCTGAAGTATAGAAGCAGAGAAAAGTTGTCACCAATTCTTTAGACTTCATGGAACTTAAGGATCTCCTGCATTTTCAGGTGACTGGTGTCCTGACAATCTGTACATGCTGTTTTCAAAATTCACTGAAGTCGTGTTCATGAAGAATTTGGTGACATTTTATTGTGTCTCTGCTTTGGGACTTTCTGGCTCAGTGGGACATAGAAATCCCCTGCTTGTCACTGCAAGTCACACCTGGGTTTCACTGGGTGCTCCCAGGGCATCTTCACATCCGTGGTCATAAGAGTCAGGAAGCCACAAAATCTTTTTACATGGAAATGTAAGTGAAAAAAAACCCAGGAAATACACAAAACTTCCAAAACAAAGCTGGTGCTTTGGTGTTAAAGAGCCCCTAGAGCTGAGGTACTGTGAGAGTTCCCTGAAACATGTGTGGAATCTGTCTCAAGGAAGGAAAGCAAAGAGAGCTGGTTTGGTTTTCCTACAACAACATAATTTTGCCTTCCAAGAGTAGATATTTTTTCTCTGATGGCACAATTATTGAAGCATGTTATTGAAGCATGTTGGGAAACATTTCAAAGCGTTGCTAAGCCAGGACCATATTCAGAAACTCTCAATTAACTTCATGGCTGCTTGAGCCAGTCTGCTCCTGCCTAAAATACACAGCCCCAAACCTGAGCACCTTCCTATTTCAACACTTTTTTATTTGTGCCTTGCCACTGACCACTTTTTAGCCATCACTTAATACAAAAAATACAACAGCTCCAGAAGAGCCACGCACAGACCTGCTCTAGGGGCTGGATTTGAGTAAGCAGAAATGTCTGAAGGTTGGAGGAACTGAGTGTAGTGGGACATGATAATGCAGCTGGAGAGAGAAATGATATTTGAGAGCTGTTTAAGGGAGTGAACACAACACGAAGATCTGTGCAAAGGACACAACAGCTCAAACACAGAGACTTGGAATCCAGACAGGAGAACTGAACAGGTTGTTGGGCATCATTCCCTGTCCTGAATGCTGCGAGCAAGTGAAGATATCTGAGTAAATTTATATCTTGCTGTATATTCTTATCAGAAGACAAAATAAGAGAAGGTTGGGATGGAGATAGAGGTGGATAGAGAGTCCCCCCAGAGCAGCAAATCAAGGAGTTTCCAGCTGGGAACACTCTCAGCCATGATGTTGGTACTCAGTCCATGATTACAGTGTGGAAAACCATTTGAGAAGAGTTTAGAAACTGGAATTTGGCATGGGAGGGCATGAAATTGGACCCAGATAGAAAGGAGAGTGTCAGGAGGCAGAAACACTCAGTGCACAAGAGGGGTGGTGCAGGCAGAGGTTTTTAGGGTAGGGGAAAGGAGATGTGGCAGCAGAAGCTGGAGCAGGAGGGAGGCACTGCCTGCCTCGGGTAAAATCTGCAATGACAGGGCTGGGAAAGTGGGGGAAGGATGAGAGGGGGTGTGACAGCAGTCCTGAATGGTGGGCAAGATCTTGTTCTCATTCAGCTCAGGGGGGGTCTCGTGGTGGTTTGCAGTGTGACAGCTGTCAGCAGAGAGCTGGGGGAGAAAAACGAGAATTTACAAAGTTTGTGTGAAAAGATTGATGGTAAAGCTAAAATTCAAGCAGTGGGGAAGAAGGAGAAAAGGAGTCTTGACACCATTTTTCTCCTGTGTGTACAGAGTGAACAAAATGAAACAGAAGTTGATGCTAATAGTCTTAATCTACTTTTTCTATTGCAGAAGTGGGTATTGTTTCTCACAATACAGCCACTGGAAAAATCAGTAACATCACTGCATGCTAAGAGACTAAACACTTCACACCAGAGGGGAGACAATTAGCACTCCCAAGCTAAATAGGTTTAATTGCACGTGGGTTGTGCTGCTGCTTCAGGTCAAAACCGTGCCCAGATTCACCAGATTCATCCTAGTACTGGTTCAGGAGCAGTGTCCTGCTTGGGTTTTATTCAAATACAAAATAATGAAGACAACTATTGATGGTTTTACACACAGCATAATTAATTATATAATAAATACAAGTAAGTTAATCAGCATTAGGACCAGTGTCTCACCATGATCTTTAAGACCACCCAGCTCCTGTGCTGCTCAGACACCTGCCAGCACTGGTGCCAGTTTGTGTTGAACAGTCAGTGCCACCACCTTGCAGGGATAACTTCCCATCTTATGCTCCCTGCTTTGTTGAAATCCCTCTCAGTGGCTGAGTTTTCAGATCTAGTTTTGGAGTAAAAGGTGCAATTTGTTTTTCTCTCTCTCGTTCCAATATATTTCCCCCTGAACAGTAACAACCAGTCCATAAGAAAGTTTTTAATTGCCACAATGCCTGGGGAGAGAGGGTAAAATGTGGCAGGACAGAGGAGGAGATGATGCTCAGTGCTGCTGTGCTTGGCACTAGTTACTCTCTTTGCCCATGTCTCCTGCAGCATGGCACAGGGGAGGCAGTAAACATGTTTTAAACCAAGGAGGAGTTTGATAAGCAGTGCTGTCCCCTGCACACCCCCTGCTCCTGCTGATCCTGGTATCAGCATTTGCCTCAGCTCTGGAATGCCAGCCCCTGAAATCTGTTGCTGAAGTCATCCCTGCACTGAACTCAGCAGGCAAGCTGTTACTGAATTCATTTCTGCCAAGATTTCAGTCCAGGCTTGTACTTGGGATCCTGATAGACCCTCAAATAAATATTATTGATTAGTCATCATTATTTTTTACTGTTGATATGCAGAAGGTTGTGGAGCCTTGGATTTCTACAGAGTCCACTGGAAATTCTATTTGATTATAGTGTTTATATTGCCAGCGAGGTTCATCTTCATTGCAGGCTGAGGTTAAAGTCTCAGATTTTGTCAAAAACCCAAAGCAAAAGTGAAGCTGAACCCCTGAAGCTCAGAGCAGACAAATCCTCACCAAAGAGAGCACCTAGGGATGTGGGACTGACTCTGGACTCACATCCCAGAACACAAATAAGCCAGTCCTTGGGGTCTGAGTGGCTGTCCCAGCTTCAGCTCCCTCCTGGGCCTTGTGCCTGACCCCCTAAATCTGCTCAGGGACAGGGAAGGCACAGTGCCACACGTGAGTTACCTTCTCCCCCTGCATTCAGCATGCTCCAGCCCTGCTCTGAACTGATGGAGCCAGGAAGCAATTAGAGCTCCTGCTCCTGCCAGATGATTGAGTGCTTGCAGACACAGATTCCTGAGAAAGTATAATAGAGAAAGTGCATTAGCAGAGTATTTGTGCCTTCCTAGGAAATGAATATGGATGTAATTAAGAAAAGCTGATTTATGTGGAACTGTAAAGCCAAGGACATAAAATGAAAAATTCTCGGTAAATGTCAAGTCAGTGTTTTGTGGTGGCCAAAACAAGGCGAGTATTGCAATGGTATTAAGGAACTGAGAATTAAAATGCCACTAAATAATCCCTAGTACATGAATATTTAAGACATTATATGGAGTTCCAAGCACCTGATCCTCAAAGATTCTAGAAGTGCTGTTCCATTAAAGTCTGTTACTAACATTTGGAGAACAGCAAGATCACAAGGCTTTCTTTTGCTAGGAAAAGCCAAATGTGTGTGTGATTCCATGGTGTGTGGTGAAATGTGTGTTTGTAGATCCCACTAAGGCAGGGAAGCATGAGTGGATGAGGTCTTCTGTTCCCCTAAACCTGCTGGGGTCCCACTTCACAGACTCCAAATAGGTTTAGATTCTAA